AAAATTGATGACCACATGTGGAAAATTGTGGTTGTTTAAGATTATATTTACAACATTTTTGGTACTTGACGTGAAGATTAACTGATCTCTCTTTGAGTGAGAGTTGGTGACTTACTTGTAACAAACAGAATATGGTGGAATTGACCATGAGTGACATCTAAGGGTAGGTCATCAAAGGCATCTTTCTCTCTGGAATCTGAATTCTGTGGGAAACCAGTTGTCATGTTATCAAAACACTTAAGCACCCATTTGGAGAGAACCGTAAGGTGAGGAATTAAGGCTTCCTCCCAATTACCCCTGAAGAACTGAGACTCCTTTGCTGATAGCTATGTGAATAGACCATTTTGAAGGCACACTCTTTAGTCTAGACAAATCTTTAAATGACAGCATCCATAACCAAAGTCTTTTTTTTTTCTTTCTGGAGATTGGAGTTTTATTATTACTCAAATCAGTTTCCCTGAGCATTTGGGGATTGGAGTTTTTAAGGATAACTTGGTAGGTAGGGAGCAGCCAGGGAGTCAGGAGTGCTGATTGATCAGGATGACCAGAGTCTTGACTGTAGCTTCATGAGAGACTCTGAGCCAGAACCACCCAGCTAAGAATCTCCCAAACTGTGAAACAAATTAATGTTTGTTGTTTTAAACCACAGCAAAATTTTGGGATGTTTTGTTACACAGGTGTAGGTGATAAATACAGACTGTTTCTTCTTTAAGATTCTGTTCCTCTGGTACCAACCACTCTTGGTACTAAGTAGTTTGTATTATATTAGATGAAAGCATATCATTGCAGGAAATTATTTTTTTCTTTGTACATTATTTTATTTTTTGTAGTATATTATTTGTAATATAATTATTTTTGTTTTTTTCTCAATGTGATATCTCTTTTTTTTTTAAGTCTATTATCTCTAATATAATTACTAACTATATTAAAATTTTCTCACTTTTTCTGGTATAAGATTTTTTAAAAGGCTAATCAGGTAAAAGTAAAGTTATTCTAAAATCGTATGCATTGATGGATTTTGACTTTTGATTCAGGTAAAGGTCTATTTCAAACAGCTTGATATCAAAACTCATTTTCAATTAGATTAGAAGGTAAAATAATGAAAGTTTGTATCCTGGCTTTAAAAACCATGATGGAAATGTTTGTATTTTGTTCATTTTTATAGCTGGATTCTGATGGCACCATTACTATAGAGGAGCAGATTGTCCTTGTGCTGAAAGCAAAAGTACAATGTGAACTCAACATCACAGCTCAACTCCAGGAGGGAGGTAAAGATGCCCGGAAAACTGACTCCCCTTGTACCTCCTATCTGTTCTCGTAAAGATAGCAAATTTCCCTCCTTCTTTAGTGTTAGGGATATCCGTATCAGTCAATCCACATTTCCATGCGGAGGGGTGTGTAGCAGAATAATGACACTCTTTTTATCTCTATTCCACATGCTTTTCCCTCTCTGTGGAAGGAGTGACTTGCCTGATAGTAAGTTTGAGAATAGCAATTGGGCATGTGCACATCAGCCTATCCCTTAGTCCTTTTTTCAGAATTTGTCTTCCTGTAGAGAGCATGCATACTGATTTGCCCTTGACCATACAGTAAGCTTGGAGGAGCAGGCTCTGTCCCTCTGGACATTACCTGCAGGTTTAGGTAGTAAGCTCAGTTTAAAGCAGTACATAAGCAAGCCCATTTATATACCTAAACCATGTTCTCCAAAAAACCTTTTTTGTTAGTAAAATGATACCATTTTATTTCCATTGCCTGACATTTTATGCAATCTCTTAATTAGTTCTAAATTCAAGTTGAAAGTGGGGTGTTATTTGCTTTGCTCCCTGCCTTCCCAAATGAATGCAGCAGAAAATGATCTTAAAGTTTTCCCTCGGTTATAAAATGTGCAGTTTGAAATCTACTTCATACCTCTCTAAATACTAAAAAATAATTGTGATTGATTTCACAATGTTTATGATCAGAGAATGTGGTCTGCTTGATACTGAGTTTTAAAAATGCGTTGAGACCTAATGGCTTATATTCTTGTCAATTTTGATAATGTTCCCTGTGGTCTTCAAAGGTATGTATATTCTCTAGTTTCTGAGTACAATGTTTTACAGTGTCCACTACATTAAGCTTATTAGTTGGGTGGTTCATATATTCTGCATCCATATGATTTTTTAAATGTGCTTGACCCATTTGTACATGATTTGTAGGTAAGGTAATACAACCTTGGCTTATGGAAAAAATTGAATTTAATTGCTAAAATTCATTTTTCAGGTCTTTGCTTGTTTATAAACTACCATGTAAATGTGTTACTTTTCTTTTGCATTCCATTTTTATGTTCTGGTTTTGCATCTTTTGCCATGCTTAGGTGAGTTACTTATAATTGTTACATATTGTGGGTGTTATGAAGGAAGAAATGAAATTTGTGCCCATGGATGCAAATTATTTCAGAGCATCTGGTGAAATTTATGAGCAAAAACTTGAAAGGTTTTGAGTATTTTATAAATAATGTTCCTCTATATTTCATGTATCATCTCACCTAGAATAGTGAACAATGTAGAGTGTAACATGAAATATGTACAACAAAAGTAAAAAGTTAAAAAAATGTGCTTGACCTATTATTTCCTGATATATATATATATATATATAATTATATCTTAAAATATGCTACTATGATAAGTTTTCAACTTTTCATCAAAAAATTTATCAGATAGTTTTACTTCATATATTTTGAAAATATATGAGGTATATTTAAGTTTAGAAATATTAGATTTCCTGGTGAATTAAAACTTTTATACATAGGAAGTAGCCCTCTTTATCTCTAGGATACTTTTCCTTCATATTTAAAAAATATGTACAACTTAAAATTATTATATTATGAAAATTTAACAAATAACACTTGTTTTCTTCTTTCTTGGTATCTGCCTTTTACATCTTTTCTAGTTCTTTAAAAATGTTTTAATTGTGATAAAACATATATAACATTAAATTTACCATTAAAATTTTTTTAAATTGTACTTTTCAGTAGTGTTAAGTATATTCACATTGTTGTGCAATCAATCTCCAGAAATTTCCCAACTAAAATTGACACTCTGTACTCATTAAATTTTAACAACTCATGTTTCCATTCTTTTATTAAACTTTTATTAAGCTTTTCTGTATACTTAGATTTCGGGAGTATCTTTTACAAACAGGACACCTATAGAGTTATGCATTCTGATAATCTTTGTCTATTAACTGAAGAATTTCGCTCAATTACATTAATTGTAATTACTAACATACAGTATTTGAGTTTAATTCTAATATCTTATTTGTGCTTTCTATTTCACCAGCTCTTCTTCTCTCTCTTCCGCTTCTGCAGCTCCAACTCTTTTTTGGATTGATTGAGACCTTTTTCTCATTTTATTCCATCCCCTGCCACCCCCAACTAGTATTGAAGATATGTATTATATTTAATTCTTTTAGTGGTTATCCTAGAAATTTTTCTCATATATATATATATATATATAGTACTTTAGGTTTTATATATATATATATATTGCTTTAGGCTCTGGGGTACATGTATGTGTGTGTGTGTGTATATACATATATATATGTATATATACACACATACATGTATATATATTCTCTCTCTCTCTCTCTCTCTCTCTTAGGTTCTGGGGTACATGTGCAGATCATGCAGGACTATTGCATAGGTACATACATGGCAAGGTGGTTTGTTGCCTTCATCCCCCAGCACCTATATCTGGTATTTCTCTCCTCATTATTCCTCCCCACCATCCCCATCCCCTGCTGTCCCTTCCCTAGCCACTCTCAACTGACCACAGTGTGTGATGCTTCCCTCCCTGTGTCCATGTGTTCTCATTGTTCAACCACCGCTTATGAGAACATGTGGCGTTTGGTTTTCTGTTCTTGTGTCAGTTTCCTGAGAATGATGGTTTCCAGATTCATCCATGTCCCTATGAAGGACATGAACTCATTGTTTTTTATGGCTGTGTAGTATTCCATGGTGTATATGTGCCACATTTTCTTTATCCAGTCTATCATTGATGGACTTTTGGGTTGGTTCCAGGTCTTTGCTATTGTAAACAGTGCCTCAGTGAGCATACGTGTGCATGTGTCTTTATAATAGAACAATTTATAATTCCTTGGGTATATACCCAGTAATGGGATTGCTGGGTAAAATGGTATTTCTATTTCTAGGTCCTTGAGGAATTGCCACACTGTCTTCCACAGTAGTTGCACTAATTTGCACTCCCACCAACAGTGTAAATGTGTTCCTATTTCTCCACATCCTCTCCAGCATCTGTTGTCTCCAGATTTTTTAATGGTCACCATTCTAACTGCTGTGAGATGGTATCTCTATGTAGTTTTGATTTGTATTTCTCTAATGACCAGTGATGATGAGCATTTTTTCATATGTTTGTTGGTCTCGTATATGTCTTCTTTTGAAAAGTGTCTGTTCATATCCTTCACCCACTTTTAAATGGGTTTGTTTTTTTCTTGTAATCTGTTTTAGTTCTTTGTAGATTCTGGTTATTAGCTCTTTGTCAGATGGGTAGATTGCAAAAATTTTTTCCCATTCTGTTGGTTGCCAGTTCGCTCTAATGATTGTTTCCTTTGCTGTACAGAAGCTCTGGAGTTTAATTAGATCCCATTTGCCTATTTTGGCTTTTGTTGCCATTGCTTTTGGTGTTTTAGTCATGAAGTCCTTGCCTATGCCTATGTCCTGAATGGTTTTGCCTAGGTTTTCTTCTAGGGTTTTTATGGTGTTAGATCTTATGTTTAAGTCTTTAATCCATCTGGAGTTAATTATAGTGTAAGGTGTAAGGAAGGGGTCCAGTTTCTGCTTTCTGCACATTGCTAGCCAGTTTTGCCAACACCATTTATTAAACAGAGAATCCTTTCCTCATTGCTTGTTTTTGTTAGGTTTGTCAAAGATCAGATGACTGTAGATGTGTGGTGTTGCTTCTGAGGCCTCTGTTCTGTTCCATTGGTCTATATCTCTGTTTTGGTACCAGTACCATGCTGTTTTGATCACTGTGGCCTTGTAGTATAGTTTGAAGTCAGGCAGCATGATGCTTTGTTGTTTGTTCCAGCTTTGTTCTTTTTGCTTAGGATTGTTTTGGCTATGCAGGCTCTCTTTTGGTTCCATATGAAGTTTGAAGTGTGTTTTTTTTCAGTTCTGTGAAGGTCTTTGGTAGCTTGATGGGGATAGCATTGAATCTATAAATTACTTCTGGCAGTATGGCCATTTTCACGATATTGATTCTTCCCAATCATGAGCATGGAATATTTTTCCATCTGTTTGCATCTTCTTGTATTTCCTTGAGCAGTGGTTTGTAGTTCTCCTTGAAAAGGTCCTTTACATCCTTTGTTACTTTTGTTCCTAGGTATTTTACTCTTTTTGTAGCAATTGTGAATGGGAATTCACTTTTGATTTGACTCTCTGTTTGTCTGTTATTGGTGTATAGAAATGCTTGTGATTTCTGCACATTGATTTTGTATCCTGAGACTTTGCTGATGTTGCTTATCAGCTTCAGGAGATTTTGGGCTGAGATGATGGGATCTTCTAAATATACAATCATGTTGGCTCCCTCTTTTCCTAATTGAATGCTCTTTATTTCTTTTTCTTGCCTTATTGCTCTGGCTAGAACTTCCAATACTATATTGAATAGGAGTGTTGAGAGAGGGCATCCTTGTTTAGTGCCAGATTTCAAAGGGAATGCTTCCAGTTTTTGCCCATTCAATATAATATTGGCTTTGGGTTTGTTGTAAATAGCTTTTATCATTTTGTGATACATACCACTGATACCTAGTTTATTGAGGGTTTTTAGCATAAAGGGCTGTTGAATTTTGTCAAAGGCCTTCTCTGCATCTATTGAGATAATCATGTGGTTTTTGTTTTTGGTTCTGTTTATGTGATGGATTACATTTATAGACTTGCATATGTTGAACCAGCCTTGCAACCCTGGAATGAAGCCTACCTGATCATGATGAATAAGCTTTTTGATTTGCTGTTGCATTCTGTTTGCCAATATTTTATTGAAGATTTTTACATCGATGTTCATCATGGATATTATCCTAAAGTTTTCTTTTTTAGTTGCCTCTCTGCCCGGTTTTGGTATTAGGATGATGTTGGTCTCATAAAATGAGTTCGGAAGGATTTCCTCTTTTTGTATTGTTTGGAATAGTTTCAGAAGAAGTGGTACCAGCTCGTTTTTGTACGTCTGGTAGAATTTGGCTGTAAACCCATCTGGACCTGGGCTTCTTTTAGTCGGTA